AAAAAAAAAAAAAAAATACAAAAAAAAAATACAAAATTGTCATCTGCCCTATTTAAGTTATTGGGTATAATTTAATTAACAAGAAACAAAAATGAAATTAATATACCAATTGACAGTATATATTATATAAACTATATAGAACAATAAATTTAGCTGTAAGTAAATAAAGTTTCATATTAAATTTGTTTATTATGCATGGTGCAGCCAATTCTGGAGGCGAAATCCACCGTTGTTTGGCTAGATAAAAGTTATCGCCCGACCCGAATTCCTCACCGGGTCATTTCGTTAATTCCTCGTTCATGAAACATTTGCCAATTAAAGGATATGTAATCTTAATTTAAATATGATGTTGTATGCTTCCCAAATTAGGGAAATAATTATTTTATTTTTTATTATTATTTGCATTGTACTTGATTTATAAAGACGATTGATTTGAGTTATTTGATTATATTAACAAATATTGAAAATAGTGGTGTTGAATTAAATTTAAATTAAATTTGAGTTGAGATTGATTATGTTGATCTAAATAATTCTCATAAAAAAATTCTAATATAAATAAAGCAGAAAACCAAACAAATTTTGAATAGGACATTCTACAACGGGTTGCGCTACACATACATGATATCGATACATCACGTCGACCCGTCGGGCCGAATTCGAGTCAACATTAGGTGAACCCCAAACTGTGGTTGGAGTGTTACTACGTACGACGGCGCGTGGATATACGACGGGGAAAGCTCGAAAGAAAATCGAGCAAGGATCAACGCTAAGGCCACCTTTGTTTCCATAAGGGTGAAATTATTGGCGATGCAGTTGCGTGGGCCCCAGCTAAAGGGGAAGAACGAAAGCCGGTTTTGGGTTGCCTTAGCGACCCCTTGGGAAAACCGTTCGGGTTTGAATTCCTTCACGTCCCGACCCCAGAGTTCCGGGTCGTGGTGGATCAAGATCACGGGCAAGAGGAGGTGGACTCCAGCCGGGAGAGTGATTCCGGCCAGCTTTGTTTCTCGGTGGATCGTTCGGTTGAATATTACGGCAGGTGGGTATAGTCGTAAAACCTCGTATAAAATCATAGTCACCTGAAAATAATAATAATAATAAACACGTGAGTTAATGATTTTTTTTTTTTTTTTTATCATTAGCTAATGAGTAATTTTTACACACGTTTTGTTCAATTTTATTAGTTAGTAGTGATTTTTTGAAATCTCAAAAGCTCCTATGCAAATTTCGTCACTTTTTCATGTAAAAAACCTATGATCAACATCAAATTATCAAGTTAATTATACACACAAATTAACCCAAAAAAAAAGAAAGAAAAAAACTCCGTAAATTATACGATTATAACTTACTATTTTGAGTCGACTCAAGCCGTCAAAATCAGGCTCGTCGTGTCCGAAAACTCGAAAAACCTCTTCTCGGGCTCGTTCTTGCCAGTCTCGATGAATGGCCAACATAAGCATTGTCCAAAGCAAAAGATTCGAGATACTTTCATGGCCCGATAGATAGAAATTCTTGCATTCTTCAACAACTTCATCAATGGTAATACCATGTGCTTTCCCATTTTCTTGGATTTGTTTGTTGTTGGACTTTAAAAGGAGGCCCAACAAGTCGTTATTATTATTATTATTATTATTTTCTCTAATAATATTATCTTTTTGTGATTGTAATAAATATTCTTCTCTTTTTAATTCTCTTTGTTTGATGATGTTCTTCACTGAGGTGCATAAAAGTGTGTTGATTACCTTCAGCCTCCTGTTTCTCTTTGTTGGCACAAACCTGGAGTTATATTTACAAATGTGTACTATTAACAAATAATATATTATCAATTTAATTAGAGATAATATATATTAATATAGTATTATATATATAATTGTAATTGTTTTTTAGATAATTAATTAATGTTACCTCCATCCAGGAATGTAAACAGACTGCAAAACCTGACGGGTGAGCTCAGCTTGCTCCTTCTGAAGCTGGAAAATCCTCAACCCTTCTTCATCGGACCCTCCGAAAGCGGTTCGAAGCATAAGATCGCAGCCCAAGTCCGACAAATGTGGGCCCACATCCATTTCTACCCTCTCATTATCTTCTCCCATTATTCTCTCTTCCCAATCTCGTATCATCTTCATGCAGCTTTCACGCATAGCGGGCACCATCTTCTGTAATTGCTCGTTCGAACTAACAGTTAGACGGGTTGATTCGTCGTAGTTTTTCGAAAAAAAAAAAAAATGTCTGTTTATGATATGAAATATTTTAGAGTTTATATATATGGTTCAATTTTCTTAGGTTCGTTTTTATTTTATTTTTAGCTATCTAATAAATTCTCACATAATTCAGTACTTTTTTAAAAAAAAAAAATGACAATTTGATAGGAATATTTATTTATGTTTTACCGATTTTTTAATTATATGCCAAAACACATATATTCTCTCACCTTGAGATTCTCGAGATAGAAAGCTGGATTAATGATTTTCCTATGCTTGGCCCATTTTTCATCCTCATAACCCGATAACCCGGACACGAGGAATTTAGCTAACGGGTTTGGGATGGGCTTTTTGAAGATGCCATTATTGTTCAGGATTTCTTTGATTAGCTGTGGGTCCAAGATTATTAATCTCGCAACTGGCCCAATCCATATGTATGAAGCCTTTCCTGTATACAAGCAGTAGCCATATTAAGTGGGCCTAAGCCCAAAAACAAAAAATCGGTTCATTTCGTATGAGTCTGTTAGGTTTAGCCCATAGATTAGCCAACTAATGTGCTAGCTTATTTATATAAATATAAATAATAGTTAACGGTTTTGCTATGAATCCAACAGTTGACTCCATAGTGGAGCCAACCTTCTATATACAACAAATAAACCTACTATATTAATAAAATTATATTAAACAACCTTCTATGATTACTTAAATAACACTAATATAATTTTATTAATATGGTAGGTTTATTTGTTGTATATAGAAGGTTGGCTCCACTATGGAGCCAACTGTTGGCTTCACGGCAAAACCAATACCTACATTTTTACTCCCTCCTATTTTTATTATTTGTCGTTTTGAGAAACAACACTCTAATTAAGATTTTTTTTTTCTTGCCAATATTAACCCCATTTAATGAATGTTATGGGTAACTATAGAGATGAGATATGAAGAGACACTGAGGGTTAAAAATGGAAAAATATGAACAAAAATAGCTAAAATGACATTTATTTAATCAATAATCCATTAAGCCAAAGTGACAAATAATAAAAATAGAAAAGAATATTATCTTATTATAGGAAAAAAAAAAAAAAGGGCTAATTATTGTTATTCAATGTGTAATAGGTTGAGGTTATTTATGTCTGAACATATAGATATATATATATATATATTATTTTATGTCTGTAACATATAGCCAACTAATTAGGGTTATTCTCTGATCAAAAAGCAGGTTAGACAATTTTCAATGGGAATCCTAAAAGTGAGACTAGCTATAGTAGAGTGGACCATTTTGGTTCTAAGTATGGAGAATATTATTGTTTATATTTTTTAGCATTTATTTTTTCATTTAAATTTCTGATACTTTTTTTTATTATTATTACTTTATAAAAATTAGCACGGGTGTGGGTAGATAATTTCACAGTAATGTTATAAGTATATAATATTGTACATACGGGCGTACATAACAATCAAATTTAGTGAGACTCACCAAGAATAGAAGATCAAGTGAACCATGCATATTCCATATGAGTGTTATGTACACATCTATGTACATTTATTATGTACTTGTAACATTTTCTAATTTTCAATAGATACACAATAAAGTTGGTGGTCTTAATTAGAAGATCGTAAATGTTGATGTGAGGCATCTTAACAAGGTTTTTTCAGTTACATAGTTTCGATTTTGCTATGAAACCAACAGTTGGCTCCATAGTGGAGCTAACTTTCTATATGATAAGTCAAAATATGTGTCGACTTAGAGGATTAATTTAGGATTTATATGAACTATTTGAGTTCAATTGACATATGTTTGACATTATCTTGTATTGTCGAGTGGAAACTACCTGTGTTTGAATTTCTTTGCAGATTTAAGGCCTTTTAGCATGTCAAATGGAAGATTCAACTTTGGATCCATTGTGTGTGGATCATAAAACATTTATACCCAACATGGCAGGGTTGGATGGAGTTAACTTTCTATATACAACAAATAAATCTACCATATTAACAAAATTATCTTAGGAGTAATGCTCCCTACCCACGGTGGATTTACTTATTGTATATAGAAAGTTGGCTCCACGATAGAGTCAACTGTTAGTTTCATAGCAAAACCGTATATAGTTTTTAAATAAACAAATATATTTAAAATTGTTTAAATAGTTATATCACGTTGTGTTATAAAGTTTGACATTTAACATATACTTGACTATAATTATTAAATATATATATATATATATAT